CTTCTCTACAGTGGAATATCTAGTCTCACGGGGTAGCATCTTACGACTCAGGTACAGGATTGGTCGTTCTTCTCCAAGGTCCCCTTGGACCAAGACTGCTCCAAGGCCTACTGCAGAGGCGTCCACCTGTACCAGAAACCTTTTGGTGAAGTCTGGACTTTTAAGGACAGGTGAAGAACACAGGTAGTCTTTTAAGGTGCGGAAGGCTGTTTCACAGTCTTCTGACCAGGTTACTGGGTTCCTCTGATCCTTGTTGGTCAGTGCTGTGAGTGGCGCTGCGATGGTGGCAAACTGAGGCACAAATCTCCTGTACCATCCAGCCAATCCAAGGAAAGACCGGACCTCCTTTTTGGTGCGAGGTTGAGGGCAGCTTCGGATAGCTTCAACCTTATCCACTTGTGGCCGTACCTCTCCTCGTCCCAGTTGGTAGCCTAGGTACCGTGTCTCCCGTCGTGCCCACTCACATTTGGAAGCGTTGAGTGTCAACCCAGCTTTGTGGATCCTACCCAGTATCTCTGAAAGGTGTTGGACATGCTCCTCCCACGAGTTGCTGAAGATCACCACATCATCGAGGTAAGCAGAGCTGCAGTTCTCACAACCCTGGAGGACTCTGTCCATCAGCCTCTGGAAAGTAGCTGGTGCTCCATGAAGTCCAAAAGGCATCACCGTAAACTGGAACAGCCCTGTTGGTGTTCTGAAGGCTGTGTATGGTCTGCTTGACTTCTCCAGCGGCACTTGCCAGTACCCTTTACACAGATCCAGGGTGGTGATGTACTTGGCAGCTCCAACCCGCTCCAGCAAGTCATCAATTCTTGGCATGGGATAGGCGTCGAACTCTGAGATGGAGTTGAGCTTCCGGAAATCCATGCAGATCCGTAGAGACCCATCCTTTTTGAAGACGATGACCACCGGGCTGCACCACTCTGAGTTGGATGGCTCAATCACTCCAAGTTTTATCATCTCTTCTACCTCTTTCTGCAGTTCTTCTACCAGTTGTTGTGGGACACGGTAGGGACGTTGGCGGATTGGTTGTCCATCTTTTAGTCGGATGACATGCTCAACAAGGGTGGTCTTCCCCGGGCTGGAAGCCAAGAGTGAAGGAGCCTCCTTGAAAATCTGGAGGATCCATGCAGCTTGCTCAGGTGCAAGGTGCGTCAAAACAGGAACGGCAGCCACAGTTAAGGTATCCAACCCATTCTCGACCTCCTCCTCCTCATCCAAGTTCACCTCACTCACCAACAATGCCTTTTCAGGAGCCTGGACAGAACGTTCCTTCCACTCTTTCAGCAAGTTCACGTGGTAGGTCTGTTTGGTTTTTTTCTTCTCTGGGTGATTGATCTCATAGGTGACTGGACCCATCTTCCGTGTGATGACATATGGCCCTTGCCACTTCGTCAAAAGCTTGCTGTTGGATGAGGGCAGCAGCAAAAGGACTTTCTGGCCAGGCTGGAACTCACGATGCCGAGCTTGCTGGTCATACCAGGTCTTCTGGCTTTTCTGGGCCGAACGCAGGTTGACTTCAGCCTCCTCCTGGTATCCTGCCAACCGACCCCTCATCTCCAGCACAAACTGCACCACTCCTCTATCACTTGGAGTGGTCGTAGGAGCCTCCCAGCCTTTTCGGAGTAGGTCCAATGGGCCCTGAACCTCCCATCCATATAGCAGCTCGAACGGAGATAATCTAGTTGAAGCCTGGGGTACCTCTCGGTAGGCAAAAAGCAGGAATGGGAGCCAGCGGTCCCAGTCCTTACCAGTGTCATCAACAAACTTCTGCAGCATCTTCTTCAGTGTCTGGTTGAATCTTTCCACCAGGCCATCAGTCTGCGGGTGATACGGCGTAGTCTTGATCGCCGAGATGCCCAGTTGTCTGTAGAAGAGCTGCATCAACCTGGAGGTAAAGTTTGTTCCCTGGTCCGTCAGGATCTCGTCTGGTATCCCCACTCTGGAGAACAGCTGTACCAGCGCATGCAGAACCGATGGGGCAGTGATGGTACGCAGGGGAAAGGCCTCGGGAAACCGGGTGGCGTAGTCACACACAACAAGAATGTATTGGTGTCCCCCACTGCTTTTCACCAGAGGGCCGACAATGTCCATGGCAATCCTGCGGAAAGGAGTAGATATGACAGGCAGAGGCTGCAGGAATGCTCTGTCAGACTTGCGGGCGATGCAGGTTTTCTGGCATGTGGGGCATGTGGTGCAGTATTTCTGTATATCAGTATACATGGAGGGCCAATAAAAACGTGCGCTGACACGCAGATAGGTTTTATGGCGGCCAAGGTGCCCGGCCCATGGGATTGTGTGTGCTAGGTGCATGACAAGTGACCTACAGCTAGCTGGGACAACGAGACGTTTGTGGTCATCAGTAACTATGTACAAAACATCCTCATCCACCATAAATATTTCCTTTCCCACACACTTTTCATTTCCCTCCTTTACCACTTTAGTGAACAAAGGTTTTAGTGTGTCATCCACTCTCTGCAACACAGCGACATTTTCTGTTACTACCCACATCTTATCCGTCTGTAAACCATCCCTTTCTTGAGCCGTTGGCCTTAGCTGCTTCTCAAAGCGGCGTTGGCGACGTGATTTTCTTGGCCCCTTAGTGCCACCCTCACACAGACTACTGTCTAAGTCTGGGAGTGGTTGGACTCCAGCTTTCGCTTGGGCTCTAGTTACCATTGGGCCAGAAACATTAACATTTACATTTACATTCCCATCTTCCCCAGAGTCAGTTTTCACAGAGAGTTCTTTTTCATGCAGCAAGTCCAAGAGTACTGGTAAATCCCATCCCAGGATTGCATCAACAGGCAAATTCTGTACCACCCCCACCCTCAACAGGTACGACTGTCCATCAATGATCACGGAAACGTCCGCTTTGGGATACGGATGCTTATCCCCGTGAACACACAAAATGTCTGTTTGTCTGCTGTAGTCCATAGTTCCAATTGGCACAAGACTTTGCTTCACTAGAGACATGAAGCTACCAGTATCCAACAAAGCAGTGACCTGCTTGCCATTAACAGTGACAGCTTTATAACATTGAACACGTTCCTCTTGATCCCCAATGGGCCCCAACTCTGCCCGGGGTGCATAGCAAGCGCCTGTGACCTTAGCTTTGCGTAGGGGACACACAGAAGCTATGTGGCCTGGCTGCTGGCAGTAATAGCAAATTAAATCCTTACCAGCTCCTTGTTGGTTTGGGGCAGTGCTAGGATATCCGGAGAACTCTGGTCGATTCTCTCTTTTTGCCGGCCTGGGCTGGAATGCTGGTTGGGGTGTGAAAGTGGTTGAGCGTGCAGGTGGTCCTCCTCTGTGAGCGTTGATGTACTGGCGCGCCAGCTTGGCAGCCGCAAGACCCTCTGTAGGCTCATGCTCTTTCACCTAGGTCCTCACCTCCGGTGGGAGTATCCGAAGCATCTGCTCCACGATGATGGCCTCTGCAATTTCCTACTTGGTGTGCTGCTCTGGCTGAATCCAGCGCCGGTAGAGACCTTTAAGGCGATGGTAGGTCTCAATGGGGCTCTCTTCAGACGGTACCACCATGGATCGGAACTGCTGCCGATACGTCTCTGGGGAGATGTCGAACTTTGTCAGCAACACTTCTCTCAGGTCTCTATAGCAGTGGGCTCTCTCCTCGTCCATTGCAGTATAGGCCTCCAATGCCTTCCCTGACAGCAGTGGAACGAGCCGGCATGCCCACTCCCTTTCTGGCCACCTCCACGTTTTGGCAATGCGCTTAAACCGCAATAAATAGTTCTCAATGTCCTCACCGCACTGGTACGGTGGGATTTTTGGCTCCGCATAATGCCTCCACTCAGGCGTTGGCTGATCAGGCTGGCTATCGGCGTCTGATTGAGGCAACGGATTATCAGCTGGACCAGAAGTCCTCAGGTATCGGAGCTCTGCCAACAGGAACTCCTCTCGCCTTTGCTGCCCTGATAGAAAGTCTTTCATCAGTGAAAGTAGTTCTGCCCCTGGTTCACTGGTTGACCCTGAGGCCATAGGAGCTGCTGGGGCCGTCCCAGACCTGTCTTCATCCTCTTCATCTGTCTCCCATGGAGACCCCCGCTCTGATTTGGCAGCCTCCTCCTGCTGCCGACGCCGTCCTGTGCGCTGCTTCGCAACGCGGCCCAGCACTTTCCGACTAGCCATCCCACTTCTGACACCATATGTGACGGGGTTCTATTTGTCCGTTGAAAACATAGGCTTAGTCGGATGATTTAAGCTCCAAAACTTTATTTATAACAGCAACAAAAGAATATATACTGTTTGATCAAAGTGAAACAGTATAACTTAAATAAACAAAATCAAAGTTACCAAATTTGGTTGTCTATTACTCATGGAGTAAACACATTCTAGCTGTTGCCTTCACTGCAACAATCTCCCGAATGATTCTTCCAGGGCCAACACCGTCCCTTTTGTACCCATAGCCCCTCCCCACAGGCTTACCGTCAACCGGTTACACAATCATCTCCAAACCACATTGTCAACATAAATGTAATTTCCTCAAACATGAGGAAACTATCTGCACCAAACATACACAAGTTAACTACCTCTTAACAGTCATTCCCCATAATTAATAAACACAAAATAAATAATAAATTGCATCCTATTTAACTCACGGAAGTGATGCGCCTCCGTCTTTTCCACCTTCCCTTTGCTGGGGAGACGGCGGTGAAACTCCGCCCGCCACTCCCCACGTAAGTATGGTGTAATATAGTTAAATGTATGTTGAAATAATTGTAGACTCACAAGCGTGCACTTGTGGTCACGCTACAGAAAGGAAGGGGAAAAGGTGGACGTTTTAGTGATGATTTAACCTGATTTATTGATGAACGGAAGAGAGCAGGAAATGTTTGGTGTGTATGTGTGTGTGTGTGTGTCGCCGCTACGGCTGTCAGTGGCGGAGTCAGTCACTCTGTGATCCGCTCCGTCACATATACATAATCTGTATTCTCTATTGTTTTTTGACATGTTGCTCTGGCATGAATGATCTCCAGATCTCCCATTGAGGGTGTCAAACCGGACAGTAACCCCCGTAGTGCCATGGCTGAGGTGTTAGGACATAGGAGCTTGTTGGGCTTTGGTGTTGTGTTGGCATGGCTGGTGCTGTTCCACCTGCTGGTCAACATATGGCTGCTGTGCGTGTTCACCAGCCTGCTGGTGGTGCTCGGGGGCTGGCTCGGGTCACAGGCCGTCCTGGAGTCCAACAGTGTGGTTCACCTGGAGAGGTTCATCACCATGGAACAGGTACATGTGAATTTGACTTCCCGTGTTTTGGGCAACGGTGTATTATCACTCCAGTATTACATAATTTACACTTTGTCCTCGCTAAATTTCAGGTTCCACCAGCTGTGGAGGATGAGCACAAATTGGACCAGGAGATTCACAACACTGTGTGGAAAATCATCAGAGACTTTGTCACCTCCTGGTACTCCACTGTGTCCTCTGAGAGTGGGTTCGAGACAGAGGTTCAAGAGGCTATGATCTCTATGGCCATGGAGCTGAAAATACGTGCTAGACAGCTCGACACGAAGGTAATTTGATTCAAGAACTCATTGTTGGAAAAAAAACAATTAGGTTGATTTTGATAAATGTTTAGGAGGTTAACATGCTGTCGATACTGTCAATGTATGAATAGAGTTAGGTATTCAGGGTTTTATGCGGCTTCCCTGCGGATACATCACTAGTTATGTGTGTTTCAAATCAATTTTAAATAATCAACGCGTTGTGATCAGATGCACAAGGCCACATCTGTCTGTTCTGACTATGATCTCTTTAATCGTACAGCTTTTTGCGTCTTACAGCTTTTATTAGCTTATTGAAACATTTCATGTTTCTCTTTCAGTCTTCTTTAAAATATTTTAAGATGCCTGGGGGGCTGATTATTTAAAAGAAAACTCAGTGTCAACAGTTCCTTTTAGTATTTGCTTAGTTGGAAACATTACAGTAATTATAATTTCAACATTTTAAACTACCTATTTCTTTGCATCAGCAAAACACCATTTATACTTTCTTACATCCACCTTATATTGCTGTTCTTTAAAATGAAATTAGAGGAAAGGAAATAAATACCTAAACACATTAATTTGTATCAACTACAGAAGTCTAATCATTGACAGTGTATTGCTATGTACGCCATGTCTTCTGCTTATTATATTTATATATATATATATATATATATATATATATATATACACAGTATATGTGTGTATATATATATTATGATATTTATAAAAATAGTTCTATCATGCAACAAAGAGTTTTTTTGCAGCTGTCAGACAAAGAATATATCATGTGTATATCATATATGCTGTATATTGCACAATAATGGTAACAGATAACAGAAACTGTTACCAGATTAACTAGATACAATTATACTGGTTTTATATTCTTTTGGATGACTTCAGGAGTTGACCCAGAGGATCCTGGATCTGTTTGGCTGCCACCTGCAGGACTACATCAGAGCCAAAGAGCTGCTGACTGAAACGCCTCGGACAGCAAAGTACAGCGGTGAGTGCGAGCAGCTGTGGAAAGCGTATTCCATGGTTACCACGCCTCATCTCGCCATGAGCAGCGACACGATGGAAGTCAACTACACCAGAGCGGTCACAGATTTGTTGCTGCATGTTTTGGTTCCTCCTCCTCACTTAGAGACCCGCACCGGCCGCTTCGTTGTCGGAGAACTCATCACCTGCAACGTTATGCTCCCTCTCATTGCTAAACTGTCGGACCCGGACTGGTTAAACTTTCTCGTGATCGGCATATTCAACAACTCCTGCAAACCACAGGAGCCAATTAAATCAGAGCTACTTGCTTCATCCCCATCTCTACCACCACCGCCTGCTGAATCCGAGCTTGCTCCACCGCAAGAGACCACATACGTTCCCCAGAAGAATAATTACGTTTCTGTGACTGAAGCTGTCAAAGACACAGAGATGGCCTCGCCTGAGCTGGCAGCCTATGATGTGATTGACTCCGAGGAGATGAACGAGAATATAACTGAAGAAGAAGAACCCACTCTACCCTTTTTGAGGCGTTTCACGAGAGGAACCAAGTCAAACCCATTTTACCAGGAGAACGACTCTGACCTGGACTCTCCTTCCGCTGACTATAAGCAAAGTTCCATTGATTCCCTAGTCATGATCAGCCTAGAGGACAACAGTAATGGTGGGGACCTGGAGGATGTTTGCCCCAGTCCAGTGGATAGTTCTTGTCCTAAAGTCCTGGTGAATTCAGAACCGGTGGGGCATCCTTATGATCTGTCGTCAGCTAGGAAGGCAGAGGGGACTCCTGGTAACGGTAGACTTCAGGACGTGGACAAGGAGGGCATTTCTCCTTTAGTAAATCCAGCCAGAGAGTTTCTTCTGGGACTAGAGACGCCTGGGTTGGGGAATCCCAATGAGCTGACTGTCAGTCCGTTACAGGGCTCCTCCCCTATACAGTCCTTCAGTTTTGAGCCCCTCAGCAGCCCTGATGGACCGATCATGATCCAGAACCTTCGCATTACTGGCACCATCACAGCCAAAGAGCACCGCGGCACCGGATCACACCCCTACACCCTTTACACTATCAAAGTAAGAAGAATCTAGTTCTGCTTCTTCATCATTTTTTCATTATTCTGGGGATTTTGTCATGCAGTTGTTCCATGGTGGCATTAAGCTGATGTAACGCCCAAAGATTACGACTGAAAGACCATTTCAAAGTTGCAAATGAAGAATTGTTAAACATGTGAAGCCTTTGGAGATTTCTGCACAAGCAGCACAAATGCTTTTATAAACAGCATGTCAGCACCAGGGTTCCTTGATTCACTTCCTATTGCTTTTAGGATATTCAATCGGCGAAGATTTGTTGGTGGAAATGTACGAACAACACAGCAATGCACCAGCTTAGACCTCGAAGAATAATTGTGATATATGCCCAAGGTGACATATTTAAATTGTCTGTTTTATCCAATAATTTGTCCAAAATCAAAAGATATTTACATTAGAAATAAAAGAAGAAGAGAAAAGCAACAAGTCCGCAAAATTCCTAAAATTATAATCAATTATCAAAACAGATTCCAATTAACTTTCTACCAATCAACTTACCAATAATCAGATTTATCAATGTTAATCATATTCCGTATAGGAAATAACAAAGCAGAGACTAGCCACCATTTATTGTTCATTTGGTTTTATATTATCTCCAATGTTTAACAGAAGGGAAAGAAAGGTTGTGTTCACTTTAAACTGTGTTTTCTCAGAGCTGAAATATCTTTCACTCTAAACTACAATTACATAAATGAGTCTCAAAGAATTTGAATATCAAATGTAAAAAAAAGGATTTATAAAATATGAAAAAAGGAACCATTTTATGTTTGGATATTGATCCCATTTCTACATTTGAATATATTTGTATATTGCATTAAAATTGTGAAATTTGATAACTATTGAATATTGGTACGTGTACTTAAACTCCTGACAGTAATTGGCAGGAGTTTAAATACACATATCTTTTTCTTTTACAAAAACATGGGTTGACCCCAATATAGTATCACAGGATTCTGCAACATGTGACAAGTCTTATACTCTGTTGTCTTGGTTTTCAGTACGAGACAGCAATGTGCTGTGAGAACGCAGAAGGGGTCCAGCTGGGCTCTGAGGAGGCTGAAGCACCCCCCTCAGGCTGTGAGAATCCATCGCCCATTCAGCAGGTGGCCTATCACATGGTCAACAGACGCTACAGCGAGTTCCTCAACCTGCAAACACGACTGGAAGAGAAAACTGAAGTACGGAAACTCATCAAAGGTAGGAAGGATCTGGATAGTTTTACGCAAAAAAGAAATCTACAAACAAACCTGGTTCAAATCTTGGCCACTGCTGAAATTCAGTTTAATAAATGTTTGCTACTTGAGCTAGCATCCAGGATTGTTATCTTTCAGGTGTGAAAGGTCCAAAGAAAGTCTTTCCAGACATGCCGTTTGGAAACATGGACAGTGACAAGATAGAGGCCAGGAAAGGACTTCTGGAGACCTTTCTTAAGGTTAGAGGATTGGTATTTTATACCATTTGAATGTATTTGTACGCCAAATGTACAATGTCATTTTGTTTTAAAGTTGTAGAAAAGCATTCTGTCATCTTTTTCAGCAACTTTGTTCCATCCCTGAAATCGCCAACAGTGTGGAGATGCAGGAGTTTCTGGCTCTCAATACAGACGCCAGGATTGCCTTTGTCAAGAAACCTTTTATTGTGTCACGCATAGACAAGGTTTGATCCTCAATAGATTTGTTATGGTACTTTTCTTCAAGTCATAAAGACCAATATACACATGATAATTTGTTTTAATGCTTGTTCATTGTTCATGGGTTTTGTGTGTTTAGATTGTGGTGAATGCCATCGTGGACACTCTGAAGACAGCGTTTCCTCGTTCTGAGCCTCAGAGCCCGACAGAGGATAACGAGTCAGAGATGGATGGAGGGAAAATGAGTACAGACAAGAAGAGGTATGACTCCAGAGACTAACTTTTATCCACATTCCTAAAAAATAGCCCAGAAAATGCGGTCGGAGTGGCTCGAGTTTTTGCCGATTCGCCCCTGCTTTACCTCTGCTCCATAAACTTTGAGTCAGCTTTTGATCCCAATAGCAATGCTGCCAGTTCTGTCATGTGTTTTAAAAACAATATTATCATTTGACAGAACCTCAATATCTAATAAATTGATGTTCTGATGCTGCAGAAAATATCACATGAACTTCCTCAGCAGATGGATTTTGCCCAGTTAAGGAATTTTTTTTTAAATGTCTTATTGTTTTTATCAAGCACTTAAAGACTTCTTGTCCAGACAACAGAATTATGTTTTAACCTCAAGTTCTGACCATTTCACTGGATGTGAGGGGTCATGACCAACATGGAAGGGTCTAGGACGGGACTACTCAGCGTAAAACTTCCTTTGAGTTATCCTTGCCAAGCCCCGATCTGGCAGGTGAAAAGAAGCAGGGTTTTTCTTGAAGCAGAGTGTTTCGTTTAATTTATTTGTTTATAATGTCGTGGACAGTGCCCATTGATCAACTGTCACAAAAACAGTAAATGGAGCAGCTTTAGCAAACATTGCTAATTTCCAGCTGTTGTCCCCGGCCAGATGATAATAGAAACCCTTAAAATCGCAATACATCAACCGCATTTGTTATAAAAAAAGGACAAGTAGATGCAGGCGAACGGATAAAAGAGAACAATAAAATGCAAACAACACACGCTACTACATACATGTCACATATAGCAGGGGTTCCCAACCCCCGGTCCGCGGACCGGTACCGGGCCGCGAAATAGCTGTGAATGTATCGTAATATTTGCAGAATTATAAATATATAAAAATATTTTATCATAATATTTTTTTTAAAAAGTGTTTAATGTTCGCACCTATACCAGTCATATTATTTCATCCAGTAGCCTGGTTAATCTTTCACCAGAAAACCATTGAAAATGGCTTTTATGAATTCCGAGGGATTCGGCGGCTCAGCCTGGTCTCAGCCTCTTGTGCGCACGAGAAAGTTACCGGTGCGCTAAGTAGGAAGAGGAGCGCACAGGAGACAACCGTTTAATTGCAGACTGTTATGTTGATGTGGGGAAATTACAGTGCATACATTATTTGAGATATATTTCAAACTCGGACTTCATTTTAAGGACATGTCGGCCAGGGGTGTAGAGCTATTTGTTTAAGCACCGGATTGGCAAAACAGGAGAGTAAACCAGTCTGCCTTGATCTATGAATTCATGTCCTCACGGTATGTGCTGCCCGCAGCTGTTTTATAGAAGGAAAACCTCCTTCACTTCATGAAATGGCTGCAGCATCAGGAGGCAGCGAGACGTGTAACTCCGCCTCTGAGAAGTGCAGCACCAGCGGGTAAAGATGTGCCTTTTTACGCACCGCCTTCGCTGTGTTTACCTTCATCAGAACAGTTTAAGAGTGACTGCAGGCTGTTACGTGTTAACCACACACACCTCTACACACATCTCTACACACATCAAACTGCCCGATTACTCCCCCTTTTATTCGTTTTATGAAGGAGATGTCCGGTCACCAAGGCGCATGATGTGTGTGTGTGTGTATGTGCTCTGCTCAGCTCAGCTGTGTGTTCGGTGTGTTTGTGTCTGTCCGACACCGGCATTTGTTTTCAAATGACCATGAACAGTAATTTACACACATCTGGCTAACTCCATAGGTAACATATATGCGGGTGTTCCCAAGAGAAGTTAGTTTAATCTTAATCTCGATGTAGTGCTAAATGCTGTCGGAGTGCATCGGAACGAACGTAACTATCATAATATCTTCTGAAAACAAATGCCAGTGTCACACACACACACACACGCACGCACGCACACACACACACACACACACACACACACACACACACACACACACACACACACACACACACACCCTGGCGACCGGTTTAAAAACTGAATAACGTCGGTTTTCCGTTTTTCCGAAAAACCAAAAAACGACACCGGTTCTTTTTTAAACGTTGTTAATATGTTTTGGATGCACATTGTTCTAGTATTTGTTCAGGCTGTTACATACAATTAGCCTCTGTTGCTGCCTGCTGGTGGTGAGTAAATATTAAAATCAGTTAAAATTGACAACCGGTCCGCGATTTTTTTTTAATGTATTTGCCGGTCCTTGGCACAATAAAGGTTGGGAACCCCTGACATATAGCACATCACAATCACATAACAGAAACGAGGGGCAACATGCATGATCACAACATCTAACACACACGCCACATCCAACACAGACTAGTGTGTGCAGGTGTAGTTCTCAGTGAACCATGTGTTCACCGTGTTATGTATTCCAACTTATGGCGTGTTTTATACTTTACATGATGACTGTTTCAGTGTGAACTCATGCAGTCATATTACATGTTTAATTATTGCACAAATGACAAACAAAAGATTTGATTTATGTGCATATTAATGTCTGTATGATCCCAGGTCTCGTCTGAAGTTCTCCAGTAAAAGCATCCCCTTTATGAACGGCTCAGACATTAGACCTCCGCTCTTGTTCAGTTGGGACCAAATTAGCACAGTAAGTAGTGTAACTAGCGTGTTGACATGCACCTATTTGACATTTAGGTAATCAAATTCCTTTTTGGCTTATTCATTTAATGCTTTCTCCTCTCTGTTCTCAAAGGTGTTTAGCGGGATGTCTTTTGGAGACTTGCAAGCGTTTATCACTGATCAAGAAAAACTGTCTGTCAGAATCGAATCAGAGAGGGAGGGCAGTCCCGTGAGACGAGAATTCGGAGGTGATATTTGTGACCGCATGAGAAGGAATCACAGTCAGGAACCTGGTAAGAAAGGAGCTTTCACTGTGATTGATCTCAAGTTCAGTCAGGTTGCTAGTTGGTACTCCATGTGTCAAAGCGGCTGTTGGTATGTTTAAAGAGATTAAGGACAGACCTGAAAAGACAAACAAAACTAAACAGCCTATCCTCACAGTCACACCCAAACAACAATTACAATTGAAAATAAAGGGGTTCTACTTAAATGGATTAAATCAAACATTTTATTATCTAATATTACCTTTCTTATCTAATTCTACTAGTCATTAGAAAAATATTTGTTTCGCCAGGTTTATGGGTTTGGTTGTGTTAGTGCGTGTGTGTATCGGTTTGTCCATCCACGGATAATCTTGCATACCACTCGTCCCATCAGCCTAATATCTTTTGTGAGAATGCATGACCGTACGCTCAAGGAGATCTTGTGGTTGTGATGGTTATCATTTGTGGTTGTCAATCACAAATGATTGACAACAGCTTCAGTAACAAAAGGAATATCAGACCATTGGCTAGGCTTAGAAAAAACTCTTACCTAGTATTTTACTTTTACATTTTGGCCTTTGTCTTGGATCAAAAACTGTCATTATTTGAAAAGTCTGACCTTGAACCAGATCTTTTCCAGATTAATTCAATACCCGAAATGTAAGAATTCCCTTAAATAAGGCACGATACAAGTTGAATAAATCCCTGCTTTGTAATCTTCGGGGGGGAAAGGAAGACGCACCTGGCGGTTATCTGCACTCTACTGAGTGCACTTTAGTTATCTACATAATCATCATGTCCGACTCAACTTTGTCTGATGTCCTTTTCCTGGTGTCTGCTTAACTCTACCGGTTTCCATTTAGTATCTCACCACGATTACAGCAGGAATAACTGATAGAAACCGGCTTGTTCCATATTCACAAATCAGACTCTTCAGACTGGGTTCATATTTTGAAAGCCCTAGTGTTTTATTTTTCCTTTCCTACTCAAAAGCTTCCATTAAACACCAAACACTGACATGGGTTAAAACTTTGGCCAAATGGTAAAAGTATAGAATGCCGAACAGTTCACAGCATCTTTCAATAAGTGACATTAAGATTTTAAATCAACATTTAAATACTCCACATTTGAAGGCTACACTGTCAATTACGACTTAACACATTTTAGTGGTTCAGTTGACTAATTCCTTTTTTTGGTGTTAGTCAACAAAGATGTATTCAGTCAATTGGATGATTTCATGATTTTTCCATGCTGAAGGACTTATTTTCCAATACTTACGAACACATCTCTGGTAAACACAAGATTTAAAGAAGTGCATTTGCGAGATTCTTTGTGAAGAGACTCAAATCATTTGATCGATTAGTCAACAAGATTGTTTGGGGGGTAAGTCAACTGAGAAATTGTTTGGACAAGGACAGCCCTAATATTATCAATAAATAATATAATAAAGTATTACACTTTTTGTAAATATATATTCCGGTGCTGACTGCATTGTTCCCCTCTCCTGTGATTAAAACATTTCCTTCTGAGTGTTGGAATGTCCAAAAGTCAAATTCTATTGAGAAAAGGACAGGTGTTATAATTTCTAAACCCTGCTCTACCGCTTGTCGCTCAAATGGGAGGCTCGACATTGTTGTAACAGGCTATTACTGTTTGTTAGACCCAAATCTTTGGGTGATGACATAAAATCTAAACCTTTATTCTAAAAAATCTCCATAGAAGCTTTGAATACAAAAAATGGGTACTGTGTACAGCCCTTAAAACAGCACTACACCTAGGGACAAGTCAAATAGAACCCCATGTTCAGTTCCCCCTGTGGTCTACAGCGCTTCATGCAACTTTCCAGGTTTGTGGGTTGGTGTGTCTCTAAACTAAAGGATGCCTCTCCATGCCAGTGGGGGATCGGGTTTTTCAGGACATTCACACCACGTACCCTGAAAATCTCTCAGACAATTCATGTTTGATTCTTTAAACTCACAGGAAGCATTAAAGAAGTACCCTGCTATTTCACATTGCCCTCCTATAACAGTATGACATAAAAAGCAGTAGAACAAGATATATTTTATTTTTTTAATTCCACACATAAATGTTTTCCTTATGAAGTGACCCCCTGCCCATTGTTAGCCCTAACCGTATCCCTTAACTGTCAGCTGTCCTTAACTAGATTGTATCTCACCATCCACCATATTGCATCACGTATTATCACTACTATTCCATCTTTCTCCATCACAGGGAATCTCCATAGGAAAAATGCATGCTATCATTAAAGTCATATGGGAACTGTCTTTGCATTGCTAGACATTGGAATTCAAAACATTCCACGTTTAATTGAATCCAAACTGCATTTCTTCCTTGTTAGCCATCTGGTCATTGTCATTTTGAAGGACAGATTTTTTTTCCAGACAGTCAAGGTGAATGAGAAGTGAATAAGCGCGTGGTCCTGACCAGACCCTGAAATGTTCCACTATAAAAGTTACTGGACTGATAGTTTATTGAGAACTAATTGGATGCTTTCACATGAGATGTATAGATGTCTGAATACCTCAATGTTTCAATTAGTGCATTTTCAATCTGTTGAATCTTTAAAAACAACCCAATATCAAATAATGAAACTTATTCCGTACTAAAATATTCCAAAACTACAGTTCTTTTTTTGGACTGAGCTTGTAAAACTCATATACCAAGCACTCAAGCTTGAATGGAATTAACTTCTGTACAGTAAGGTCACTTTTATAACGCAAAATACGGATGAATGACTGGAAGTGATACAAATGACATGTTCACATTTAGAAATACAATTACAGAAATCTTGTTGTATAACATTAATTGTCCTAACGTGAGCATTTAACTGGAGAAGTTTCATTGTGATATCTATTAGATAAATCTTAAAACTACATATTCTGCAGACGGCAATAGAAACATATAATACCTCTAGATTTAAGGAAGAGTGGTTGATTTCAGAGTGCAATAATTGCTCTTAGCAGAACCAGCAGCTTCTCAGTGTGACCACATGAGGGCAGTGTTACTAAATATATGAAGCTGATGATATTACTGGTCCTTCATGTTCATCAGATGCAAACATAATCAAAATAGCTCTTTAAACAGATTACTTATGTTAGGTTTTAGATATACATTCATGTCCCTCCATCTGTCTACCAAGTGCTGCTTGCATGCTAAACCGACATACAGTATGTTGAGTATGATATTTGAATGTAGAAAAATTATCTTTGTCTTTAACAAAGTCATTATCTTGTAATATTGAGTTTTTAATTTGTCTTGCATTTTGTGGTATAGCCTCTGAGATGGAGCTGGCTGAGGTGGCTCTGAACATCCTGTGTCTGCTGATGAAGGAGCAGTGGAGCTGGTTGTGCACCGAAAACATTCAGAGGACCATCAGGCTGCTGTTCGGGACCCTTATCAACAGGTGACGTGATACATTTGTTGTAGAATGCCACAAAAAGTTACTATAAGTAAGGTTTTTTACCCAAAACCATGTTTAAAGCTTGGATAAGTAACATTGGAGAAGCCAGCAAGAGTAAGTTTGATTTAAAAAATCCAAACAATACAGCCTTATGTTTCCAACTTTTTTCCAAAGAAAGTTGCAATAAGCACAGGTTCCAGTATTCTTGCAAGAAAATAGCAACACTGACATATATTCAATAACTATATGACATATAGACTGTAGAAAGTAAAGAACAGTTTAGATATTTTTGGCAATGCAAGATGTTGATTTTTGATTGTATCCTAATCCTAAATTATCCAAAAGGCTTTATTTACGTATTCAAATCGCTGACATTTTTTTATAGGGAATGCCTCCGAACCCTCTTACCTGTTCTTATCTTTGTATTCACTACTCTAATAGGGATGTCGCAAGAACCGATACTTGGGCAAATCAATACCAAAATACATTTGTTTTAACTTTGTTCTTAAGTAACACTAATGGGATCAGGTCTTGAGACCAACGGCATCGTATTGTCCAGCCTAAACTCACTATCCACTATCTTTCCTGATAAATCTACATGGTTAAAAACAAATCTGTGTTGAATTTGGCAGGACCAGAGCTAGTTAACGTGAGCTGTTAGCTGTTAGCTGCTAGCAGCCGGCAGTAGCTCTATTGTGTAAAACTCTGTTTCAGGTGAAGGTTAATTAACCTAAAACAGATTTTATTGTGTTCAAATAGAATTTTGTGAAATTTAGTTTTTAGTTAATCTTGTTCAAGAAGATGTTTTCACGGCAATATATAATAGATTCAATAGAGGGAACTATGACCTTTTAACTTCCCAGCAAAAGAAACAGGATACAAACGGTAATATGTGTGTGGTGAAATACAGTGATTTATCGGAAATGTTTCTCATGGTGGTATTTAATTGGTTATCGAGAATCATGGAATTTCACTGGTATTGGAAGCAACTAATACATGTTTGGTATTGTGACAACCCCATTTTTTGGAGTTCGCAGGTCTTTAAAAAACACTTTGGTTGAGTCATAATGACACTTTTATGGCTATCCACTTTTAAATGTTTTGCTAATCCTAATGATAATGGATATTATTTATGTAATATTGCTGAGACACAACTTGGAAAATGCAGACACTTTCCCCATCCTCAGTGACTTGTTATAAGCAGATGCTGGTACCAATTTGAAACCTACTAATATAGATCTTTCCAAGTGAACCTGGCTGACGCTGCCACAACAATGCAAACAGCAGTAGCCTCTGGTTGACTCTGTCTTCTTAAAGTACTTTTACGAGCTTCTATGCTACGAGCTTTAGGCTGCTAAGAAGTGATGGAAATGTAGACGTAGTGGGACTTTGTGGACTCAGCCAGGTCAGGACATGAGAACAAATGGTTCCTAGTGGAGATTCCACAGAGAGGACTGTTTATGAGCTGGAGAGGGGACTCTGGCTCATGTACAAGTCAAGAGAGTTGATATTCAGGCTTGGCCACGAGTCTTTGCAGTGGTCCGTGTTTTAAAAAGGAGCATCACTTGCCATGCACTGTATTAATCACTTACAGAAACGAAAGAATCAGAGAACTTTGCTCTTGCTAAACAGTATGTGGTATTTTTATTATTACACTTGTTGTTTAATAGTTTATGTGCATACGTGCATGAATGCTCACCTATTTGGCACTATAAAGAATGCCTGACAGCAACTTCCCAAACATTTGTCGCAGATAGGTATAGCTCTGACTGCCAGTAAACTGAACATGCAGACAATGTTCTCGGGTTCTAGTGTTTGTGGTGTCAGTGCTGTGACCTCACGTTCCCCGGGGTGTCAGTACCGCAATATCGTTTCTTCACATTGATACTGGGCCCTCTATTTTAAGAAGTTCCACCAGCCAAGTATGAAAGGCCTTTTGTTTGGCCTTGTCTATATGAGGCTACCGTCTGTCAACATTGCAGTGAGAGCTCTCGGTGTGGCAGGTATCTCCTCTCATCGACTGGTTTCTCTGTGAGAAGGAGACGAGATGCTCTGGACGGCTCTTTACAGAAACACTACCTTTGCAGTTGTGTCACTAAGATAGCTCTGTTCATGTATCATTTTTCAACGAAGTTTAAAACAAATGCAAAGTGGTATTATATGGTAAGAACATGAAGAGTACAACATTAAATGTAATTCAAAAGCAGCATTTGCTTGTGTTTAAATCTAAAATAGTATAAAAAACGGCCATTGAAGCACATTTTCGGACACCTTCCGTTTCAGTCCCGTGATATCATTGGGCTCCAAATAACTTTTTGCCATTTACTTTATTTGGAAAGACACTTCTGTTGACATACGCTAAATGAACTACCTTGTACAAACAACCTAGTTTGACAACCTAAAAGTTGTAAAATTTGCTTAAAGCCAAATGCAAAGCTGTTTTCAGTTTCCAATCGTTTGACAAAACTGAGACCGGACGTGATGCTGTCGTGAGGGTTTGGTTTGGAGGCAGGGTTTAAGGAAAACGTAATTGACCATGCTCTTTGGGCCCAATGATTATAGAATATTTCCGGAAGGTCCAGGGAAGTATTTTCAGGCCATTTTGTAACTCTCATAGGAATGAACGGGGTCTGGCCTCCAACGCTGTATTCAGTTCTCTTTATACATCCATGGTCTCGACCCACAACCTTTGGGCTTAAGCCATGATTTACTGATGCTTAATAGAAAATATGCCTTTTTATTTTGGGATTTCCTCCATTTGATTAAGACATACAACACATTTTGGGTCCAATTCAAGAAGAATTTTAGCCTCTAATAAAAATTGTTTTTAGCCATGCCAGCGTGACTTCGAGGGTGGGAATAATGGCTGGTCAGTTGATCTATCACTCTGGTCCAGACTGAAATATCAATGGATTGCCTTGGAGTCTGTCACAGACACTCATGACTCCCAGTGGAAGAATCCTAACGACTTTGTCGATTCCCTGAAATTTAATTTGGGACCAGGCCCGCCCCTCCCTACACGCAGATCACACAGACTGCGGAGCGGGCCTCATCTTGCGGAGGGAGCCTCATCTGATGCGCAAATGCGGCGCACTTCAGCTTATGCGCAAATGCGGCGCACTTCAGCTTATGCGCAAATGCGGCGCAATTAAGCGCACCACAGCTCCGGCGCTCGCAGTTCGCGCACGTGCTACACTAGCACCCCCGTCGACGCTCGTCGACGCTCGCGACACAGAGGGCCTCATCACATAACTTTGCGTGGGGCCACAAGTTGGCCAGGGCCAGCCCTGTCATCACCATCAACAGCTCAAAAATGTAATTTGTAACACTACAGATTCACACTCTGATACTAGTCACCTCCCTGGTGAAACAGAACAACACAAGTAGCAACCACCTGAATGTTTATTCTAACATGCAATCCAACAGCACTGAAGAGTTTTGGTTAGAGAGCCTTCATTGTTTCAGTTTTGGTCAGCGATTCCTTTTAATAAATTGATCCACAGGGTTAGGGTTCCATACAAATCTTAATGTTTTTTTAGTGGGACTAGCAGTTTATTTAAAGTGCTGGGAAGTTTATATTTGTTCATAATATAATCTGACAGTTGTTTGGTGGGAGACAAGTAGAAGCTGCAGAGAGAAACCATATCCATGTTTGTTGGTGGGAGATAAAACCAGGACAAAACAGGCCGTGTGTGTGTGTGTGTGTGTGTGTGTGTGTGTGTGTGTGTGTGTGTGTGTGTGTGTGTGTGTGTGTGTGTGTGTGTGTGTGTGTGTGTGTGTGTGTGTGTGTGTGTGTGTGTGTGTGTGTGTGGTGTGTGTGTGTGTGTGGTGTGTGTGTGTGTGTGTGTGTGTGTGTGTGTGTGTGTGTGTGTGTGTGTGTGTGTGTGTGTGTGTGTGTGTGTGTGTGTGTGTGTGTGTGTGTGTGTGTGTGACAGGTCTGGCTGGAAAAGCCGGCTCTGTGCTCCTATAAATGGGGTCCAAGGCAAAGCTCTGGTTTGGGAGATGTCTGAGTTTTATGGACTGGAAAGTGGGAAAGTTTAGGATGAATATAGTCTCTTTCTCTTAGACAGCAGTCTGGATGGAAAATCCAGCTGGAGCCAGATTGTTGTCAGTGTCTAGATGTAGCAGCCACTCTATGTGAACATCACCAGCATTATTATGAACCCTCATGTTCTGGTTTTAAGTTAAACGTAATGCTTCCTTCGTTTGCCAAATAAAAAGGTTTATCGAAAATCACCTCGAGTTAATGCACTTGCGTTTAATCTGTAAACATTTGTATCGCTTATTATTAATGTTACCAATTTGACCCAACTTTTGTCCCGTAACATGTAATGCACTGACTTGAGTACATCACATTTAAAAAATATTTTTGCTAAAACATGCGCTAGCCAGTTTCTTGAAGTTGTACTGGAGGAGATAGGGGGACACAGTCACCATTGTAGGAAAAGACAGTGCGCGCAATATGTTAGCGTCAGTAAGAAAACCCCCCATGATAAATACAAGCAAAGCAAATACTAAACGCAATTTCAATTATTTTATCCATTGACACGACTACCAATAATGCAAATAAGTCATTGAAAAATTCAGAGCGCTGATAATTATGTCAGCCTTTTAAAATGTGTGATGTAATTTCCATAAATGCTTGCGTGAGTGTTTAGGTTGCCCTACTACAGAATGAAATACGCCCTCAGAGTCTCTGATATTGACTTACAAGCACCAGACAACCCTGGCTGTAGCGATGCGGTGGAGAAAGACAGTTAGTCGCAATGATGATAGAATATAATGATTGTAATTAATCTTATTGCATCAAGTGGTTCAGACTTTCTTGGAAAGCTCTTTTGCCATTGGCTGTGGTTAGCAACACACTAAGTTTGGAACATTTCCCTTGAGTGAGTTGACGTCATTCGGGCTGATGGACAAGGCACATTTACCACTCCAACTTATTGGAGAGTCCACCTGCTCTACAGTGCTGTTGCTGTCTTTGTTCTTGTTTTGCAGTCGGT